AAGAAGATAGGGTTTAAGGGATTTGAGTTTGGGAAGAGAAAGAGAGGATTTGTTTTTCTTTTTTTTTCCTGGGTATCGAAGTGAGGAATAAAAAAAATTGTTTGTATAAATTGTATTATGGTTGATGAAGGGCATTTTTGTACTTTGCTAGCATTTTTTATTTATTTATGGTTTTAAACTAAGAAAAAGTTGTAAAAACTTCTATAAAAAATGGTTTTAAACTTGGAGGTATTGAAGTGAGAAAAAATTGGGATTTGTTTTAGTTGCCCCCAAGAAAAAAAGCAATTTCATTGGAGTTATATTGTATTTTGATGTAAGAATACATCCTGGAGAAATAAATATCAAATGTGAGTTGGCAATTAAATATTTAAATCACTTTAATTATTTTCAATTAACAATTATTTGTTACATATGCATGGTTGGAGTAACTAAATTTATAAAAATATCAAAATAAAATATAAAGTATCAAATTAATATTTCATGCTTTTGGGCTGGAGTTGCTCTAAGAGGTCACTTTTCCATAATTGTAGGTCGGTCCGAAATATTATTTGTACTAATTAACAAACATCAAATAAGACATAATGATTAATTGATCATGCTTATCTTACTTCATCTTTCCCCTTTTAATTGAGGTTTTATCAATGAATTTTTCCCCCAGATTATTTGACATTTTAAACTTCCAAAACAAAACTGATTTTTCTTCGAATTTTACCCTCAACTATTAGTTGGTCTAGCTCTAAACGTTTTAAGAGTTAGACCAATTTTAAAGACTAATTAATGAGATTTTTAATATATGTAAAGAATAACTAAACATAGATTAAAAGGGGAGGATGGAGTATTAATTAAACGAGGTTTCATTATATTAATTAGTCACAAATCAAATTGACCACTGCATAAGCTTTTGATTTTGTAGAACCTATAGCTGGTGAAGTATACCAAATAATCCACTACACATAATAACACACACATGAGTATATGTGCTTATAAATATATAGTTACTTATGTAGATCTACGGTTTAAAACCGCACGATATATTTCATTAGGTGTAAGATCTTATAAGCCCAAACTTGCTGAAACTTGAGTACATAAATTATATTTCATTGTTCTATAAGTTGAACTATGTTTGGATTAAGAGTCTTCAAAACTTCTAAAAAGTATACAAAAATAGCAATATGTTATAATAATTAATAAAATTGGAGGTCCAACTTCATATATATAGTGGGGCGGCTTGTTTCATAATCATATAAATAATTAGTGCTAGTATTTTATATATAGTCATCATTACATTTTAGAACATGCACATATTATAACATATATAGATACACACATATAATAACTAAGCAAAAAGAGAGAGTATAATTATGAGGTTTGAGCCTCTTAATTAATAATTAGTTTTAATTGTATACCATCACCTTTAACTAAAATAGGAATCTGATCCATTATCAATGCCAAAAATTACTCCAAACAAACAAACAAATGCAATCTTGATTAGGGCACACATGCTAGTGGGAATGAGATACATAATAGAACTAAAAGCATGTGATTGGCTTCATTTCTTTTTCCTCCTTAGAATCTTACATCATTATTATATCAACTAATAAATGGTTGTCATATATAGAATCAGTGCTTTATTTTTTTTTTATTTTTTTTAATAACAGTTATTGTTTCTTTAAGCGATCAATAATATATATATTTTGAGAAATTACATACAGTCCCCTACAATTTGTAGATTTCTTATATCCAAACCGCACCCTATAAAATGTTAATGTAAGAAATCTACAAATTGCAGAAGAGTTAATGTAATTATATGAAACAATAGACGTTACCTCGTGAAGACGGTTGTAATTTACCCATCAAATACATATATAGCTAGACTATAAATAATTCAAATCGGAATTACTGAGTTAATTAGGACGTGAGATGGAAAATTGTAAAAGAAAAACAGAAAAGAGAAAGAACTTGCAAATAGAAAGAGTATACTTTTAGTAATAGATTTTAATGCAAAATTATACTTATATCTGTTTATAGTTTATGATTAAGATTTGCCTCGTTATGTTAATTCAAAAATTTGTGTTGATTTCAATACGAATGGCAGCTAGA